TCGCCATCGGCGGCGACGCTGTCGTCGCCCACATAGGACGATAACCAAACATCCGGGAGTTCGGAAACAAATCTGTCGACGGCCCCCACGCTGCAAGCCCGAACAAAAACGTCGTTGAAAATGCCCCCCGCTGGCAAAGCCGAGCGAGCAAAGAGGGGGGCGAGCCCACACTGGGCCCCAAAGCGGAGCAAACGGGGGCCACGCCAGAAGTTATACGTCGTTTTGACAATCGCACTGTTAATACCGCAATCGAGGGCACGTTGGCGCAGGAGGGAGAGGTCGAAAGACTTGTAGTCTTCGGTGGCATCCCAAATAAACCCCCCCGTGCAATTGTCACTGTGCTGGGCCACCTCGGCCTTGACAGCCTGGCGCCACACGGCATCCTCAGCGCTGCGTCCTGGCCCGAAAGCCCAGCGCTTCCCAGGGCAACTCAAATTGAAGTCCGTCGCACACGGCCGCCGCAAACGCTCCCACACACGGACAGGCCCCGCGCACAGAAGGATTGGTCGAAGCCATCCCTTCGGTTTTTCGAGCAGGGGAACAAAAGCCAGAACCACTGTCTGGGAACAATCCCAAACTCTCAATGGTTTGCACTATCGCGGCAAACACCTCAAGAGTCGAATCCGACACCAGGCTAAGCTGACGAAGATGACCGCCATCCAGGGATTGGGAAGTAAGGCGAGAGAAGCTGGCCGAGGCCTCGCGTATCTCGATGGCCGTGGGGCGTGGTGAATGGGTCCTGTCGGAAACATAAACACTGTCAGGCACATGAGAGGCGCGCCAAAAAGCGCCGAGCTCCTCTCCCTGCTGGCGCAACAGGGCCCGCGGGTCATTGGAGAAAAAACCTGGGTGGGTCTGGACGACCGCGGGGGGCCGCATAGCTTTCAGCTTGGCCAATCGGCGCATAGCCCTCGCCCCTCCTTGCAACGCCCTCTCCCGCCACTCACCCCAACTCTCCTTCCTTTGATGATCGATGGCCTTCTTGGCCGACGTGAGGTCATCTTCCCACGAGCTGAGAAGCTCCCGGCAGTCGTGGGATACCTGCCAGCAAGGGCGCACGCCTGCGCACCAGTAGCATCTAAACGTATGCTGCGCCCTTCGCCTGGGCATGGCGTGCTGAGCAGCTGCTGAACCTGGAGCTGCACATCAGTAGACAAAATCTCAATTTCAGCGCGGTCCTGGAAGTCAGGGTCATCGCAGGCCTTCTGGAGTCTCGCGGAGGCCCCGATGGTGTCCTGAAGCATTTGGGCCAACCATATCCAGCCACGGTGCCGTCGCCTTTCCTCAACACAATTGGGTTTGGCAAAAATCGGGGCCCACCTAGGAGACAGGAAAGCCCCTTTTTAACCCTTTCTTTCTGACCTCGGTTCCTGTGCGGGCCTCGAGCTCGAGCCCGAACGCGCTGGCGAAAACCCGCCAGGCCTCCGTGAGTAATTCCCACGCATATCCGATATCCTGAGGCACTGCCGCCTGGGCCGCGGCCTCTGCCACTGCTCGGGGCACTCGCCAATCCTGGGGCTGAGGCGAGGGCCCTATGGGTAGCATCGCCGGTAGCTATTGATGGGAACGATAAACCAGTTGGCAACACTTAACCGCATCAGCCCTCAGGTTGAGCAAAACAGGGCGACGGGGTCGATGTGCCCATGACATTTCGACTTGGATATCCTTGCACGCTCGTGAAAAAAACACGTACTAGCAAATAAATAATCGATCGTAGACAGACTAGTAGAGGAGAGGCATGTTTTTGCAAGGCACCACCCAAGCGCCGCCCGCGCGTCGGACCACCCCAGAGATTTCAACCAAACTCGGGGCCAGGTTCCAGTCGCAGCCGACAACACATGTCCTCACCTTCTAGCCTCTCCCCAACGAGGCACAACAAAGACACATTCATCTGGCGCATGCCAGTTCCGCTCTTGAGGCATCCGCATATCACCCGCAGAAAGGGGGCCAGGAAGGCAGATCAACCAGAGCGTGCATGAGTCTTCCACGCCACAAAATGCCTGCGCCATCCCGAAGCCATCTGAGGCCCAAGTGGTTCCGAACAAAAACGGCCACCCCCGCCCTGGTTCTTCCGCTTTCGCCAGGGAGGGAAGGGGGGGGAAAGCATCTTCCAACCGAGGGCCCCCGCCGCCGACGCCCGTTCGCCTCCCCGCTCCTGCAAGAACCCGACCTCCTGCGCCAGCAGGATACTCGACCCTGCGCGGCATACGCGCTCACGAAGGGTGGACCACGAGTCGCCGTCATACGCTCCAACGCAGAAGCCCCGACTCAAGATCTGCTCGGAGGTCGAGCCCGGCGAAGGAGAGGGGGGGGGGGGGGGGGGGGGGGGCGGAGGCGTTGCAGGCACTCCGAATTTGGACAGAGGTAAGCCACAGCAGCTGGGAACCGTTACCCAGGCCGCTTGGACTTGGCAATATTGCGGAGCACAGGCTTAAACTTAGCACAGAAGGCGCCACGATCCACCTGGGCCGAGGCCAGGATCTCATCCGCCAGCTCGAGGTCGAGCTCGGAGGCGCCGTCAAGCCCCATGCCTGCGGCGTGCGCAGCGAAGCCAGCACTAGAACCAGGAGTGGCAGACTCAAACGGGGACTTGGCCATGGGCATCTCCCTCGCTTTCTTGCGCCCGTTGTTCTCCGCGAGCACCTTCGCGAAATCTTTGAACGGCCGCGAATCCACGGAGCCCGCGATCGCATCATTGTCTGGGTGGTCCGCCCAGAACTCATGATCCAGCTCGAGGGTCGCCGCCACGGGATTCGGCATGGTATCTTGCAGCTCCTGCATGAGCGCGCATATCTCACTATCTGCGGCCGTGATCTGAGCCCGAAAAGAATATATATATATATATATATATATATATATATATATATATATGTGTCCTGAGCCTTCTTGATTATTTGCATCTGATCTGCCACAACTTGTTCCACTTGGGTCTTCTCGGCTGATGCGCGCTGCAACCTATGCCCGACTGTAGTGTGTCTCGTGAGCTGCGGCTTCCGCTCTGCCACCAGCTTCTGCATTGCTTCACCACGGCTGCGCTGCAGAGCCCCCGCAGCACCCTTACCAGCTTCATCGAGTATCTTCTTGCAGCTGGACACGGGGATCTCGAGCTGTCTGATCTGGTCGCGTAGGTCATCCAGCTCCTTGCTCTCTTCGTCACCGTCCTTGTCCTTGTCTCTACCCGAATCAGCTGACGGAGGTGGCGACGAAGTTGGGCCAGCTGCGACACGCTGACTCGAGGCCGCCGCCAACTTCTCGATAGACATCTGCATCGCCTGGAGTCGCTGCTGCACAGGGTCACGCACAGGGCCCCGAGAGCGACGAGGAGGGCCCTGACGAACAGCCTGACCCGAACCCACAGCAGCAGCTTGATCTTTGGCGCGGCGGAGGACACCAGCAGGAGCGGTAGCGCCACACCTGCACTTGACCCTGTTGGCGTTCCGTCCGCAGGCGCCGCACGCCCAGGTGGGGCGACGAGGTCCCAGGAGCACTTCTCCAGCATCATCTCCACCATTGCCTGGGGCCATGCGGCCTGGGGTACGCAGTGGAGTGCCCTCGCGGGCTCGCAGTCTGCCTCCGCAGAGGCCCACAAAGCACGGCGGGTAGACCCTGGCCAGGGAAGGCCGCGTGAGGGCACCCAGAGGAAAGGACACGCCGAAAACTCCCGAGCCTGCCGCACGGCTGCGGACAAGCTCGAAGCCTCGCGGCAGGGTTTCGAACTTGAGCCAAAATGGCTACGGGGGCTGAGCACACTCACTCCGTGATCGCGTAAAAAATCCACGCGCTGGGCCAGGCCGAAGTTCTCGATCGTTTCGACGATGCTTCAATTCGGTTCGCAGTCACCACCCACGCCGTGGAATGCTGACGCCCACTTGCCTTGGATCTGAGGCATCGGCAAACGCCTGAGTGGCGCGGTCAGCCCTCGAGCGCCTGATCGCTGGGTTCAGCGGCGCGCCGAGCTGCTGACTCGCGCGCGCCTCGCGCGCGCGGCCGAAAAAGTTGCGCACGCACCGACTGAACACTGATGTGGCAGAGCTGCCTACTGCCATGACCAGCGTCGACGTTATGATCCCACTCCTCCACTGCTGAGATCACATGGCGCGATGCTTCATGCGGGCTGAAGTGGCGACCCATCGACCTCCTCTCGGTGAACGCGCATATGCTACTGATGTTCTCGATCAGCGACGACGCCCATTCTGGCGAGTCGCTGGATAGCTGAATGCGTGGAGCCCACGCCTGGATATGTAAATGCAGTTCGCCCGCGCACGTCAACTGACACCTGCTGATAACAGTCGCCAACTGACCAGCGATCGAATACTTATACACGGCTTCTGCCCCTGCTGCAACCGCCACAGCAACTGCCACCGCTGCCGCGCGGACGGCGCTGACAACGCTGCAAGCCAGCCATGAGCCTGACGGCGCCGACGGCGCCGACTGCGCTGACGGCAAGGGCCGAGCCCCAACTGAGCCAGAGCGCCTGAAAGACAGCCACAGCCAATCCGAATAATCCAGACGCACGATAAGGGCGCACGGGCCCTGGGAAGCCAGGCTAGGAATTTGAGCGCGGCGCGCGGCCAGCGTGAGCGGCCCAGGATGGGCCGGATGTGAAATATGCCAGGGTCATCTTTGAAGTCGCCCATCCTCACTGCGCGGGCTGGCTGTAGTTGCGCCGTCTGGTAAGGCGCGCTGTCTGGTAGGAGAGCCCTCCCGCAGGGTGGCTGCGAGCTGTCTGGCAGTAGCTGCGAGCTGGTGCCTCGCCATCTCTGGCGGCCTGAGAACTGCGAAACTGTCGCCACGTTCGAGGGCCGCTGGAGGGCCCTCCTCCCCCGTCCTCCTCCGCCTCCTCCTCATCCCCCCCACCCCTCCTCGCCCCCCTCCCTGTTCTCCTCCCTCCCCACCCCCCACCCCCCGCCTGAGACCCCCTTGTCAGGGACGGCTGCGCAAGGAGATCTCAAGCACTGAAAGCGGTTCCTCGGCCGGGCGCCGCACGCGCTGGAAACTGAAAGCGCCGATGGCTGCGGGGGCAGCCTGGAGGCATTTATTGTCGAGGCCTAAGCACTGGGGGCTCGACGCCCGAATCGCAGCGGGCGCAGCCTTGGAAGGATAAAAAACTGAAGCACTGAAGACTGATGCCTCCGGCAGGCTGAACAACCCAACCCGTGAAACTCTTGCAAATGCGCGACGCAACTGCGCGCGGCACTACGGCGCGAACCATCTATTGGAAACGAGCCGCCCTCCATCCGTGAAACTACTGTAGCATGTTCGCAAATGCGCGCGGCGCTACAGCGAAAACCACACCTTGAAAACGAGCCGACCCCTATCCGCGAAACTCTTGCCAGCTGTAGAATCACTGTAGAAGCAAGCGCGCGCGGCGCTGAGGCGAAAACCACATATTGAAAACTTGCCGCCCTCCACCCGCGAAGCTCTCGAAACAGCATTGAAACGAATGACGCGGCGATCCACCCTCAATCCGCGAAGCTGCGCAACAAGTCTAGAAAGAACGCGCGCCGCGCTCGAAGCAGTTGCAATTTGCTTAAAAAACACATGCGCGGGGCAATCAAGCGAGAACAACTCGTTGAAAAAGAGCCGCCCCCAACACGCGAAGCAACGCTTTCAAAACGAACGCGCGCGGCGCTGAAGCGAAAACTACAAGTTAAAAACGAGCCTCAACCAGCGAAGCTCTTGAAGCATGTTCAACACGAGCGCGCGCGGTGCTGGGGCGAGAGCCACAGTTTGAAAACGAGCCGCCCTCCATTCGTGAAGCTCTTGAAACTCGTGGGGGGGAATTATCCTGGCGAAGGGCCCAACCATATGCAGTTGCGAGTACCGCAATTGTAAATATCTTCTTCGGTGGCGCTCCCTACGGGGCCGCGAACCGCATGAAGGTGCGCCGACTTGCGCGGCGTAGCCTCTGCAGGGGCCCCCCCTGGGAGCCCCGACGGCAGCGCCCGCGCGCCGCGACGCCCACGTCGGCGCGCCCCAAACGAGGATCGCGCCCGCTCCCTCCCCTCCTTTTCCCTTTTCGTTTGCCCGCGCACTCCAAAGTCCAAGGCCACGGGCGCAGCGCAATGCGGAGCCCCCACGACGCGCGCAGGTCGCCCCGAAGGGGTCACAGTGACGCGCACGGATCGCACGCTGCGTGGAACAGAGATTGCTCGCTGGCTAACTGATAGCGCGCATGGCTCCGGCCGCCGGGCGGAGCGACGACGGGCGAGCGAGGCGCTGGACAGAGCGCAGCGCGGAGTTCGCGCGACGCGCGCTGATCGCCCGGAGAGGGCCCCAGCGACGCGCGCAGGGCGTCCGCGGCGCGAGGCCAAACAGTTGGACAGCCGAGAGAAGGCGCGGCTGCGGCGGGCCGCTCCTCAGTTCAGGCCTCGCGGATAAATTCGGTGAAACCAAGCTCACTGGCGAGGGCCGTGGCTCCCCTCCTGCACCGCTTCGCGCGCGCCGCAAACTGCTCCAGCTGCTTACGCAAGCCCTCCAGCGGCCCGGCCAGGAAGACCTCGACGCGCGGCGCCCGCGTGAGCAGGAGGTCCTCGTGGCGCGTGGCGCGCGAGCAGCGCGTAGAGCTCCAGCCACCAATCGTCGTCCTCCTTCTTGCCGTTCCCGACCTCGTGGCGGCCGCAGTCCAGGATCACGCCTGGGCGACGTCGGCCGAGGGAGCAGTGCGCCAGGCAGCCGACGGCCCAGGGCGAGAGTCCACAGGACAGAAAGATGGCTGCGGACTGCTCGCGCCCCGGAGGTCTGGCCGTCCCCTGAGCGCCGTTCCCCCGCCCAGTCGCCTTCTCGCATGGTGCGCCCCTGGCACGCCACCGTGGTGATGACCCTGCCGCGCGAGAACGGGAAGCCCGAAATGGGCCCGGCGCTCAACCTTGAACGGATCGCCAGCGCGCCCACACAACGCGAACCTGCCGCAGGCCTCCCAAAGGGGGCCAGGGTCGAAGGGTCGCGCCGCATCGCCGACGCATCGTCGACGCACCTAGCGAATCGTCGTCGTCGTCGTCGTCGTCGTCGTCGTCGTCGCCTCCGTCGTCGTCGTCGTCGTCGTCGTCGTCGTCGCAGCCGCCGCCGCCGCCGCCGCCGGACATGTGAGGGTTCGCGCGAAGCTGGGAGACATCCGGGGCGACGCTGACTGAGTTCCCCCCAATGGCCTCCTCATGGATCGCTGCTGGCTGAGACCGTCGTGGCGACGACGGGCCTCCGAAGGCCAGAAAGCTTCGAGCCTCGATCCTCGAGGTTCGCAATTCAAACCTCGACGTGAACCTTCGAAAATGCCGAAGCATCCCCCTTAGCCTTTCCAAAAGAGAACGCCTTCGGTGGAGCCTCTATGGGGCCACGAAACGTGTGAGGGGTGTGCCGAAATGGGTGTGCGGGACGCATGCGGGCACACCCACTGGGACCTTCGGTGGAACTCCCTATGGGGCCACGAAACGTGTGAGGGGTGTGCCGAAGTGGGTGTGCGGGACGCATGCGGGCACACCCACTGGGACCTTCGGTGGAACTCCCTATGGGGCCACGAAACGTGTGAGGGGTGTGCCGGAATGGGTGTGCGGGACGCAAGCGGGCACACCCACTGGGACCTTCGGTGGAGCTCCCTATAGGGCCACGAAACGTGTGAGGGGTGCGCCGAAATGGCTGTGCGGGACGCATGCGGCCACACCCACCGGGACCTTCGGTGGAGCTCCGTATGGGGCCACGAAACGTGTGAGGGATGTGCCGACATGGGTGTGCGGGACGCATGCGGGCACACCCACTGGGACCTTCGGTGGAGCTCCGTATGGGGCCACGAAACGTGTGAGGGGTGTGACATGGGTGTGCGGTGGGGTGTGGGTGTGCCGAAATGGACGCATGCGGGCACACCCACTGGGACCTTATGGGGCCACGAAACGTGTGAGGGTGTGCCGACCTTGGGACCTTCGGTGTGCGGCCACGAAACGTGTGAGGGGTGTGCCGAAATGGGTGTGCGGGACGCATGCGGGCGCACCCACTGGGACCTTCGGTGGAGCTCCCTATGGGGCCACGAAACGTGTGAGGGGTGTGCCGAAATGGGTGTGCGGGACGCATGCGGGCACACCACTGGGACCTTCGGTGGAGCTCCCTATGGGGCCACGAAACGTGTGAGGGGTGTGCCGAAATGGGTGTGCGGGACGCATGCGGGCACACCCACTGGGACCTTCGGTGGAGCTCCCTATGGGGCCACGAAACGTGTGAGGGGTGTGCCGAAATGGGTGTGCGGGACGCATGCGGGCACACCCACTGGGACCTTCGGTGGAGCTCCCTATGGGGCCACGAAACGTGTGAGGGGTGTGCCGAAATGGGTGTGCGGGACGCATGCGGGCACACCCACTGGGACCTTCGGTGGAGCTCCCTATGGGGCCACGAAACGTGTGAGGGGTGTGCCGAAATGGGTGTGCGGGACGCATGCGGGCACACCCACTGGGACCTTCGGTGGAGCTCCCTATGGGGCCACGAAACGTGTGAGGGGTGTGCCGAAATGAGTATGCGGGACGCATGCGGGCACACCCACTGGGACCTTCGGTGGAGCTCCCTATGGGGCCACGAAACGTGTGAGGGGTGCGCCTAAATGGGTGTGCGGGGCGCATGCGGCCACACCCACTGGGACCTTCGGTGGAGCTCCCTATGGGGACACGAAGCGTTTGAGGGGTGTGCCGAAATGGGCGTGCGGGACGCATGCGGGCGGCGGCACTGGGGCCTTCGGTGGAGCCCCCTATGGGGCCACGAAACGTGTGAGGGGTGATGGTGATGATGACAGCGATGATGATGATGATGATGATGATGATGATGATGATGATGATGATGATGATGATGCTGATGCTGATGCTGAGGAGGATGATGATGATGATGATGAGGAGGAGGATGATGATGATGATGGTGATGATGATGGTAATGGCGATGATGATGATGATGATGATGATGATGATGACGATGATGGTGATGATGATGGTCGTGAGGATTATGACGATGACGGTGATGACGGTGATGATGACGACGATGTTGATGATGACGATGATGATGGTGGGAGGAGCGAGGAGGGGGAGGAGGAGAGGAGGAGAGGAGGGGAGAACGCGGGGCGACGTCTCTTCAAAACGAGAACCCAACACCACCAGGTGGTTGGGAAAAACAGAATTTGCGCGCAGCACTGAGGCGAGAGCTAAATTCTGAAAGCGAGCCGCCCTCAATCCGTGAAATTCTTGCAACGTTTTCAAAACGAATGCACGCGGCGCTGAAGCGAGAGCCACAATTTGAAAACGAGCCGCCCTCAACCCGTGAAATGCTTGCAACGTTTTTCAAAATGAATGCGCGCGGCGCTGAGGCGAGAGCCACAGCTTGAAACCAAGCCGCCCTCAACCCGTGAGACTCTTGCAACGTTTTTTGAAACGAATGCGCGCGGCGCTGAGGCGAGAACCACATTTTGAAAACGAGCCGCCCTCCATCCGTGAAGCTCTTGCAACGTTTTCAAAACGAGAACCACACGTTGAAAACGAGATGCCCTCCACCCGCGAAGCTCTTGTAACGCTTTCGGAACAAATGCGCGCGGCGTTGGGGCGAGAGCCACGGTTTTGAAACGAGCCGCCCTCAATCCGCGAAACTCTTGCAAGGCTTTGAACAAAGAATGCGCGCTGCGCTGAGGCGAGAGCCACATTTTGAAAACGAGCTCCTCTCCATCCGTGAGACTCTTGCAAGGTTTTGAAGCATATGTGCGCGGCGCTGAGGCGAGAGCCACATGTTGAAAACGAACCGCCCTCAATCCGTGAGACTCGCGCAACGTTTTCATAACGAATGTGCGCGGCGCCGAAGCGAAAACTACATTTTGAAAACGAGCTCCTCTCCATCCGTGAGACTCTTGCAAGGTTTTGAAGCATATGTGCGCGGATCAGAGGCGAGAGCCACATGTTGAAAACGAACCACCCTCAATCCGTGAGACTCGCGCAACGTTTTCATAACGAATGTGCGCGGCGCCGAAGCGAAAACTACATTTTGAAAACGAGCTCCTCTCCATCCGTGAACTCTTGCAAGTTTTTGAAACATATGTGCGCGGCGCTGAGGCGAGAACCACATTTTGAAAACAAACCGCCCTCAATCCGTGAAACTCTTGCGAATTTCCGAAGCGAATGTGCGCGGCGCTTAGGCGAGAAACTCTTGCAATGGTTTTTGAAACGAATGTGCGCGGCATTGAGGCGAGAGCCACATTTTGAAAACGAGCCACCCTCCATCCGTGAAGCCCGTGCAAGTTTCTGACACGAATGTGCGCGGCGCTAAGGCGAGAGCTACATTTTGAAAACGAGCCGCCCACCTTCCGCGAAACTCTTGCAAGAACTTTTGAAACGAGTGTGCGCGGCGCTGGGGCGAAAGCCACATTTTGAAAACGAGCCGCCCTCAATCCGTGAAATTATTGCAAATTATTTGACACGAGTGTGCGCGGCGCTAAGGCGAGAGCCACATCTTGAAAACGAGCCGCCTTCAATCCGTGAAATTCCTGCAAGAGTTTGAAACGAATGTGCGGCGATAAGGCGGCAGCCACAAACCGCACTCCATCCGTGAAACTCTTGCAAGCTTTAAAGGCGAATGCGCGAAGCGCCAAAGCGATAGCCACATCATCCTTCCGGTGCGGGGACAACGCTTCCGGCGCGGGAAGCGTTATCCTATTGCCGGACGGGGGGGAGGGTTCTTCAATGCTTCTTGGAGTTATCAAGTCTCTTGAGCTCCTCCTCCATAGCGTGCAGGGTATGTATTCGAATGCTGCTGCGTGCTTCAATAGCAGTGGCATGTTGGCCTCCGGCCAAGTCCAGAACTACAAAGGCCAATCCCAGCTGCATTTACAAGTGAAGAATGTACTGCATAAGTTCTGAAATTGAATGACCAGCCTTAAGGATGTTGCAACGACGCCTGGAGTGGACCCAGTTTCGTGCACTCCCATATGAACTGCGCTGTTAGCACTGTTCTGGCGTCGGTCAGAACGTTCATTGCTGACATTTGACACCCCATATTAGCTTTCGTTGTTACTTCTGGTTCACAAATAACCATGATCACAGCTATGGCTTTGAAAAACCGAGAACATGTTGATCAATGACAAAGCTCAACTCACTGAAATGGAAGCGGTCATCATTCAAACTGGAGCAAAAGAAGAAATCAAATGAACACAACTACCCCACCAACGAAAACACGTCATCCCACAAGTGAATATCAGAGGCTAGAACCAACAAAACATCTGAATCAGCACAACTGCCCCTACAAACAAAAATACTCCTCTCAACAAAACATCCGACAAGAGGTGTGGCCGAAATAAATTACTCCGACGGTGGGTCCCCACATGAGATTTGATCTAACTTGCCCCTCGTTTTTTCCCATTCGCTCTGCGGAGACCCTCCTCCCGCCCACTGTTGCGCCTCCTCCTCTTCGTAATTTTCGCCCTCCGTCTCCTCCTCGTTTCCGAAGTCCGACCCGCAGCGCAAACGATCACCAACTTCCGAGAACGTGCCCCAGCGTCCAAGCCGCTCGAGGTTGCCTCCCATGAGGACGCCACCAAGCAGCTGCGAAGGCCAAGATGACTCCAAAAGCACATCAGACGAGCCCAACGGGCCCAGGACGGCCTCAATGCGGCCCTTCGCCGGTCCACGATAACCCCAACATCTTCGACTGCTCAGTGAAACCCCTACCTGCTGTCCGGACGTGGTGCCGCCAAGCGCTGTGGATACTGATGGCTTACTGTTTGATTTGTCGATGCTCCAGAGTAGACCGAGACGCAGCACCGCTTCCGAGCTTGCCTCGAGAAGTAGTCTCTGGGTGGATCGGCGCGCGTGGGAGGCTTCGTGGGAATCCTTGGGAGTCCCAGCCTCGCCACTAGGCGAAGAAATATCTCTGATAAAGCAGGGGAACGAGCTACAAAGGCCAATAGAAAGCAAGCTGAGCTTGTGCTCGGCGCAGATGTCAATGGTATCTGCGACCAGCCTTCTCGGCGAGGCCGAACGAATGGCAGTTCTGGCCTCGCAAAACAAACCTTCAACTAGAAGAAAGCAAACACAGGTCATGCGAATACTGCCACTGCCATCAAAAGATCAGCGCTCGTCCTGACACATCAGACGTGATACTATGACCTGAAATGTGGCGATCGGAGATTACGTCTGAATCGTAGCAACCAGCGACGTGGAGAGCGTGTACCGCTGCGACGGAGGAACAAAAAAAACGAATTCAAAACGACGCTCTTCCCCAACAAAGCCGTGAGAACCTGCAGCATAGCAGCATAGCCCTGGTCCTGGCGGCCCACTGGCGCGAATCAGAGGTTGCCAGCAACCTTCCGCTCGGTGAGAGGCAGTCGCGCGGATCTCAAGCGTCGAAGAAGCAGCAGCGGCTGATACTCTCTGCCCCCTCTTCTGCTGTCAGGCAGGCTGGGGGGGGTGTCCTTCCTGTTCCGCCCGCTTGCGCTTGAAGCCCTCGATGGCTTCCACGATAGCTGCAAGCCCGAGAATCCTTGCGCCGCCCTCCAGGCTCCCCAGGAATTTGGACCTGTACGCCAGGGCCTCGTCGGGATCTGGGCAGTTCTCCAGCATATGCGAAAGGATCGCCGCATTGTTGGAAGACCAGCCTGTGATCATCAGAAGGTTCAGCCGCATGGGGCCCGAAGGCCTGTTGATGTCCAGACCATACTTTACATAGAGCTCAAATGTAGCAAAGGTGCCTGCTATGAAGAACCAGTAATCCGCCGACCCCTTGGGGTCATCGGCGTGTGAGATGCTCCCCCCTCCCCAAACCCCTCCCCCCGGGGCCCAGTCCGGTCGGTTTGGCGGGGGGGGTCCGGCCGGCCCCCGCTGAACGCGCCACGGGCCTCACGACGGGCAATGAAGGCCCCGAGAGGCCCACAAGATGGTCCAAGAGGGCCCCGAGTCGCCGATGGATCGTTCCAAGACGCCCAAGATGACCCCCAGACGGCCCAAGAGGCCCCCGAGATGGGCCCCCAAGAAGCGTCCCAAGAGGGCCCCCAGAAGCAGAAAATCGCCCCATTCCCCTGGGGAAACTTGTGATTTCAGCACATTCGCCTCTTGGGCTTTCACAACGTCCAAGACGGCCAAAGAGGCCTCCAAGATCGCCCCGAGACGGCCCAGGAAGCCCCCAAGCAGGCTCCAAGACGGCCCCAGAGGGCCCCAAGACGGCCCAAGAGGCCCCCAAGACGGCTCCAGGAGGGGGCCCAGGCTGGGGACGCGAACGGAAATTTCGAGCCCTCGGCCTCAAGAAGCCTCCAGGAGGCCCCAAGAGGCCCCCGAGCAGCCCCCAAGAGGCTCCAAGAGGCCCACCAGAGGCACACAAGAGGCCCCCAAACGGCCCCCGAAAGGCCTCAAGTGCGGCCAGGAGGCCCCCGAGAGACCTACCAGGAGCCCCCCTAGGGGTCGGCGGTGCGGCGTACGCCCAAGAATCATTCGTGAGATTGTAGCCTGCTTTCGGAAGCCACATGTGGCCTCCGAGTCTACAGTAAAAGCAGGCATTCCCGTCCATGCCCAGCCCGAACGCGAGGCGGAGGATGTCCTTGTTCTCCGCTGCATACATATACCAAGCATGGACAGCGTCGGCACCCGGGCTCCAGCTCATACAGTTCCAGCGTGTGTTGTAGTTCATGAGAAGGCCTGTATTGCACTGCAGCGAAATGAGATTACTGGACCATCTGAAAAAAACACCTCCATGCTCGACGAGAAGCTTGGCGCAATCCGCATTATTAGACCGAACGCACTGGATCAGCGGAGCGAAATCCAAATTGTTTGGCGAATTGGGATCAGCACGACTCTCGAGGAGAAGCTTCAGCTTGTCAAAATATCCTGCCTGCGCTGGTCCGGTCAGAATGCTGTTCTCCTGGCCCGTGAGATTCCAGAAAGGTCGCTTCATTGTCATTCCCACTTTGGCGTGGACGTCGGCACGGGCGTTGATGAGCAGCTTCATGCACTCCAAGCCTTCATCGCCAGTGTCCATGTCTGCAGCCATCGAGAGCGCGGTGCAATTCTCTGCACTCTTGGCGTTCAGCACCTGTAGCCGAGAGGAAGCTGCCTCATCCAGACCATCGAACAATAGAAACAACGCCTTGATGTCTTCTGAATGCTGCGGGTCTCCGATAGTTTTCTCGCGCATTGCATCTTCTCCTTCCGATGCCGAGAGAACAGATGTCCTCCTGGACGCGCGGTCAGCAGCACCAAGGCACCAATTTCGCACAGTATAGACCAGCTTGTGCGGGATGGAATCGTGGCCATGCTTTCTTTGCATCCACTCGGATAGCAAATCGCAGATCGGGTCGGCCCCCAGAGGCAGGTCCGGGTTAGCCTCAAGCTGCGTAGCCAGATCGATAAGTGGAGTCCTGACGGAGATGAGGTTCATGCCGCTGATTCTCGTGGTACCCGCCATGTCTCCTGGCTCATCGCGGATGCCGAGCAGCTGTTGCTGTGCCACTTCCGAGAAAAGCTGCTTCGTCATGAGCGTCTTCCCGCTCCCAGAATCGCCAATCACAAATACGCGACCCTGGTATCTTTCTTGACTCAGCACTTCTGGTAGATACTGCTGGTGGACCATGCGTAACTTCTCGCAGACAATCTTCACGCTCTTCGGCAGCTGTAGGTTACGCGGGAAAATGCGCCCATTGAATTTCACGTCCACTTTGATACAGTGGTCAGTCACGTGCACCTTCTCGCGGGTGAGGAAGTCAGTGGACCACGCCTCCGCTGTCCCGATCTGCGCCAAATACCTAGGAAAGTCAGACTCAAACTCGAAAGAAGCAACCTGCACATGTGTCGCACTGGTACTCAGTCGGCGCCTTTCTGGCCCTCCCAGACTGTGCGGCACTGCTCAATCCATTCCAGCGCTGTGGGTCCGACGTCAACGCCAGCTTCCCACATCACTCGCTGAGCGCCTGCAAGGGCAAAGAAAGAAGCACGGGTCTTCTGGTGTATGCTCGGCTCACTGTATGAGAGCATTCGCGCCGACCACGAGAAGAAAGCCAAAGCGAATGGAACGCCGTCGTTGTCTGGGACGTCGTCACCAATCTCGTAGATGCAGATACAGTGCCTGATGCGTGTCAGCAGCTCAAGCACAAATGTGGCCGTCGGATCGCTCTTGAGCTGCTCCCCTCCGATTAAAGGCAGCGCTGTTGTGGCATCGGGTGTGGCGAACAGCAGCTTCGCAAACGTTTGGATGTGCGACTCGTTCACATGATCCTCCAGATACAAGAAGAGACAAGACGCAAGGAACTTTGAGAGGTCCATGAGCACGTGGACGTTATCCTTCACTGTCGCGAAATCTATCAGCCAGACTAGCCCTTGTGAGTCGAGCAGTAGGTTCCCGCCGTGCAAATCGTTGTGCGCCAAGCCAAAAACTATTTGCCGGTCAAACTTTGTATTGAATCGCTGCTCCTGCTCAGTGAACTCTTGAAAGAAGCGCTTGATTGTAGAGCGTTTGCCGCACAACTCAATGACGATGTCGGGTGGCGTCAGAAATCCGATGCCCAATGCAGCATTGTGTTTGCTACGTTTCGCACCCTCCACCGCTCGATTGAGGATGCCGTGGCCGACAAAGCGGACAATCTTGTACATCTTGGCTTGATTCTCCTTCCTGACGGAACGCGTGGACATCGTGAAGGCAAGCATACGTCGGGTCAGGGCCTCGTTGACGATGGGCACCACATCAGTCTGGCGCTTCCCAGAAGTAAACTCACCCTGGATTACTGACGCAAAGGTGAGCACAGGTGGGGCAGAAGCAAACTCGGGAAGACCAAATATGCCACCGCATAGGTCAATCTGCATGGCTGCATGACAGCACATGGTTCGTCTTCGGAGACGTCTTCAAGAAATTGAGAATCCTTAACTTCGGAGTTGTCAAGCCAAACAACTTCCCGTACCGCTCGGTCAACTCAATCTCCTCCTTCACGTTGGCAGTAACGTCAAATTTCAGCACTGGTGACGGCATGGGTGTTCCGTCCTTGCGGCCGGGCGAGAAGAAGAAGACGGACGCGCCACTGAAACTCAAGGAGATTTGCTTGAGCTTGAACCGTGAATGCTGACGAGCGTCCACGAGGCATAATAAGGCGCGCCTCTGATGTGCGCTCAACTTGTGCACGTCCCCCTGAAGCACAGCCTCCTCGTCTGACGCCTGCTCAGTCTGCGCCTCATTCCCATCTTCATCAGGAACGTTGTAACCCACCAGCGCCGCTTCACCTGCAGCCTTTTGCTCCACGGACTCGCTCCCAAAATCGGCCTTCCAGAAAGTCTGGCAACAATGCATGTGCTTATTCGAATGGAGCGCAATGCCCACAGGCCCCTTGTCCGCAACTTCACGTATCAGCACTGGGCCAGTGTACGCTTTCTGGTGAGCTGCAACACGCGCTGCCCTCGCATCGATATCCTTTTTTGGCATATGGAGACTCATCGCGGAGAGACAGAGAGATCTGCGAAGTTGAAGGGTCGAGCACTGAATGCAACAAAGAATGCGTGCAGCGTTGCAACGCGAAGTGGACACAAAGAAGGCCTAAACCAAAATGGCTGTGGACATTATCATGATCATCAGCATCTTCAGCCTCACCATACCATATTATCATCATCATCATCATCATCATCATCATCATCATCATCATCATCATCATCATCATCATCATCATCATCATCATCATCATCATCATCATCATCATCATCATCATCATCATCATCATCATCATCATCATTTTTCGAGGGCCATTTTTCGACACCCCTCACGAAGATCGTGGCCTCGGAGGGAGGAGCCGCAAACAACTACCTCCGTCTCCCGCCCCAAGAGCTACCCAAGAGCCCCCAAACAGGCCCCAGGGGCACCCAAGACGCCGCCAAAGGCCTCCAAGAGGCCCTCAAGAGGCCACCAAAGGCCCAAAAGAGGCCCCCAGGACGCTTCGAAGAAGCCCCACAAACGCCACAAGACGCTCCAAGGAACTAGAACACTTGTTCCAAGAGGCCTCCAGAGGGCCGCAAAAGGCTCCCAAAGGTTCCGAAGAAAGTACATCCTAGACGCTTCTTGAAGCGTCAAACCTGCATCCCAGGGGTCCTACAGAGGCCAACCTGGCGGGATACGCCGAAGACAACTGCATATTTCAGCTACGTCCCGGCCCACTCCCGTCCGACCTGCATATTTCAGCTACGTCCCGGCCCATTCCCGTCCGACTTTCGGTCGAAGCTTCAAACCTGCATCCCAGAGGTCCTACAAAGGCCAACCTGGCGGGATACGCCGAAAGAAACTGGATATTTCAGCTACGTCCCGACCCACTCCCGTGTGACTCTCGGCCCGAGCTTCAAAGATGCATGCCAGAGCTCCTGCAGAGACCAACTTGGCGGGATACGCCGAAGACAATTGCATATTTCAGCTACGTCCCGGCCCACTCCCGTCCGACTCTCGGTCGATCCTTCAAATTTGCATCCCAGAGGTCCTACAGAGGCCAACCTGGCGGGATACGCCGAAGGCAACTGGATACTTCAGCTACGTCCTGGCCCACTCCCGTTTGACTCTCGGTCGACCCGGGGCGCGCCAACAAGGTTCCAAGATGCGAACTATGAGCCGGTCCATCGAAGACGACAATACAAGAGAGGGAGACGGAAGAGGCGGCCGAGGACAAGGAATGATATGGCCGTGGGGCAAGGGGCCAGGGAGGAAGAAGGAAGGGAGGAAAAAGGTCCAGTAGGAGGAGGAGGGAGGAAGTCACAAGCCAGTAGACGATGCGGATCCCCCTAACCTCCGACGTCATGAATGTTACATGGCGCGGATCATGGATGCCTCGACTACTCCCCGAAGACTGGCATTCCGTCCTTCCTGTTTGACGGTACCGGGGCAAATTGATGATTGCATGAACCGGACAACTGTCAAAAACCGTCCGTCGCCACACCTTCAACACGCTGGAGATCGCCCAGGGTGACGCCTTCTACACGTCGAAAATGCTGACGCCCAGGATGGCCTCCAGACGGCCGCAGCCGCCTCCAAGACGCCACCAAGAAGCGTGTCAAGAAAGTCCCCGGAAGCAACAATATTTGATTTATTGTAGATTCTCGAAAGACCAAATCACTCAACCGCAAACGTAGCATAATGCGGGCCGGCGGAATGAGCGAAGCGATTAAATAAGCAAACCGCTCGAGACATCCTCAACGTCTGGCCCCCCTTGGGGGCGAAAATGAATGCGTCGCTCGAGACATCCTCCAAATCTGCTCCGAAAGCGGAGGATGTTGGGCATGCAAACAGGCAAACCGCTCGAGACATCTCCGCCATTTGGGCGCGAACGGAAACCGTGCAATACCCCCTGGCGGCTCCTCCTTGGGGGTGTTGAAATCCGCGCCTCGCTCGAGACATCCTCCAAATCTGCCCCGAACGCGGAGGATGCTGGGCATGCTAAGAGGCAAGCCGCTCGAGACATCCCCGCTATGTTGGCGAGAACGGAAGCCGTGCAATACCCCTCTGGCGGCTCCCCCTTGGGGGTGCTGAAACACACGCCTCGCTCGAGACATCCTCAGAATTTGGTCCGCCATCATCATCGTCATCATCATTATCATCATCAGCAGCATCATCAACAACAACATCATCATCACCATCATCACCATCATCACCGTCATTATCACCATCACCATACCATAACATGATATAGCGTAACGTAACACATCATCGCCATCTGCATCCACATCGCCGTCATATGCTCTTATTGTAATCCGGGGAAAAGGAAAGGGGAGGAGGGTGTCTGGAAGGAAGGTCCGCGCGGTAACAAAATAACAAGAAACCCATCCTTGGGATATGGCACACATACCATAACCTATCAAAACATAAAATAACAGACTATCGCATAAAGTAGCATGGAATATCAGAACGTACCACACCATACTTCTCGTCATCATTCGGCATCATCATACTCTGCGTGCATTAGCATACTATGAGTAGGATGGGGAGGAGAGGTAGGAGGGTAGGAGGAGGAGGAAGAAGAGTGAGGTCCGAGGCGCCTAAATGCTAACAAGAAACCCATCTTACGCTATGGGGAACAAGAACCCCATTCCTTTAGATATGGTGCACATACCATAACGTATCATAACATAACAGAGCAGCCCATAACATAACATAGCATATCCGAACGTACAATGGTTTTTGGGGGGAAAAAAACTATCCGATTGTTGTTGGGGCTATGGGGCTATAGGACTAAAGGGCTATATGGCTATGGGGCTATAGGGCTATATGGGCTATATGGGCTATATGGCTATAGGGGTATCGTGCTATAGGGTTATTGGGCTACTGGGCTATAAGGGCAATAGGACTATAGAGCTAGAGGGCTATAGGGCTATAGGGTTATAGATCTATAGGGCTATAGGGTTATAGGGTTCTAGCGCTATAGGGCTCCAGGGCTCTGGGGCTATAGGGCCATAGAGCTATAGAGCTATAGGGCTATAGGGCTATAGGGCTAGTGGGCTATAAGGCTATTGGGGTAAAGGGGTATAGAGCTATAAGGCTATAGGGCTATATGGCTATAAGGTACCTGGGCACCCCTGGGCACCTCCGGGCACCCCCGAGCAACCGGGCACCCGGCCACCGGCCACCGAAATCCTGGGGCACCAGCCACCCACGGGCACCCGGGCACCCGGGCACCCAGGCACCCGGCCACTGAAACGGCGCCGCACAAATCCGAACCCTTTAGAATCCGCTAGGACCCCTACAGAGGCAAGCTCTGATTTGGGATTACGCATATACATATCATAGCTATCGCTAACAAGAACCCAATTTTATGATATGGGGAATAATGTCGACAATGATTTGAATAGGAACACTCGAAATAACATATACGTGGGCACACTTAGAAAGATACGATTGAGACTAGCAATAACAATTGCACTACCAGTTCCAGGACTAAGAAAAGTAATTTGATGACCGTGTTGAAACCCTTGGTAATAATCACAGTAGTTGCGATAACTTTAGCGGTAGTGCTCGTAGCAATACTAGTTGCAGTCGCAACGCTTGCAAGTAGCACGAACACTTAACAAGATGATTGAGCCGAATTACTACTATGTGTAGCAGTCCAACTCATAATTTACCTGTAGTGGCACTAGCCGCGGCGAGAGTGAGAGGAGGCGCAACTAGTCGCAGTAAGAACTACTACTGCGTAGAAATCGACTGTCCCCCTAAGGTGTTCAAAAGATTCTGGCATCACGGGCGCCTCCTGGGGGTCCCTAGGGACCCTCTGGGGGCCCCTTGCCCCGGAGCTTTCGAGCCTCTCACGGGGCCATCTTGGAGGCCATCGGGAAAATGACGAGTCGCGGGCGCGAGCGGCTCCGAGTATGAGCGATGCCGATATGGACATTGATGCCGGCATGGTTGAAACGACGGCTGCCTCAAAAAGCCACGAGCACTGAGTGCTGTTCCTCTGCTGCGCGGGCGAAACACCCACACTCGCACTTCAAACTGAAGTGTCTGGGCGCTGCAAACAACGCCTGAGGCGCTCATCGCATCGGTTGGAGCACAGAGGGCCGCGCGCTGCAAGCTCTGCTGGCTGATTTCGCTGGCCACGCGGTCGAGAGAACTGCGGCCTCGGGAAACCCCGAGCACTGAAAGCCGTTCGCCGTTCCTCGGCCGAGCGAATGACACCCCCACTCGCCCTTCAAACTGAGGCGCATGAGCGCTGCAAGCACTAGAAAACTAAGCCCGAGGCGCTCATCCAACCCGGTGGAGCACTGAGAACTGAGAGCTGCAAACACGGACACCCAAAAACTGATGGCACTGAGGGGCACTGAAAGCTCGGCAAAGCCTGAAGCACTGAGGGCCGAGCACACTCTTTTCT